TTGCTTTCCACTTAAGAGCTGTCAGGTTAGAATGATTTGGCAACTCCTATATTGTTAGAAAAAAATAATTGAAACTTAGCAGAAATCTGAACTTACAGAGATTGCTTATAAATGTGTACTAAAGTGTTGTAAACTAGATGTTCATGAGTTTACTTTGCTATCCTTCTGTAAGCAGGCAAGGACCTTTCTCTGCAGGCAGACTTTTTATCAATAACTACCTGCCTAAAGTGACGTGGTGGCGCTGCAGGCTAAACCGCAGAAGCCTTTGTGTGCTGCAGGGTCAGAAGACCAGCAGTCGTAAGATCGAATCCACGCGACGGAGTGAGCTCCCATCGCTTTGTCCCAGCTCCTCGCCAACCTAGCATTTCGAAAGCATGTAAAAATGCGAGTAGATAAATAGGTACCACCTCAGTGGGAAGGTAAACAGCGTTCCGTATATAGCCGTGCTGGCCACATGGCAACGGAAACTGTCTTTGGACAAACACTGGCGCTGGCTCTCTCTATAGATAGATAGATAGATAGATAGATAGAGAGAGAGAGAGAGAGAGAGAGAGAGAGAGAGAGAGAGAGAGCCAGTAGTAGATTCCAATTCTTTATCCAGATACATATACTGTATATATCTGGATAAAGAATTGGAATCTACTACTACACAATATATTCAATGGGGAATTTCCAGGCACCTATATATATATTGTTTCTTTAGAACTAAAGTTAATTCAGCAAACCTGCTTCTTTTAATGATATTGGATGATAGAATGCCTTTTTAGGAAGATACTGCCTAATTTAGTTCAGCTAAATGCTGGCTGTGTCATACCCATAATGTTTCCCTCAAGCATAAGATGTGGTTTCATCCTGTGGTAACTTCCTTTTGGTCTAAAGTTATATTCATGTTTTTATACTTGATTTTTGCTGGCATTCTTTCACTGTAAATTACATTCTGATGGCATGCAGTTTAATAGATGGAGAACATAAATCGTGTTTTTTTCCCCCAAAACTTGATACAGTAGTTGCTGAGAGACTAGGAGAGAAAGAGATGTTACTGATACTCATTAGAAAAGGAAATCCTGATGTGGAAAGCATGAGAATGCATTTTAAAGACTTAATGTAATGTGTAATTTTGCTTGCTTAATTGTGTAATAGGTCTCCATGAGTCAAGCATGGGGTTTCTTTGTAGTTTGTTTCTCAAATACGAAAGTCTGCCTGATGACATCTCTTCAAAGCTAAAATGCATTTAAATCTATTGATGGTTCATCTGTAACACGTCTTTCGGCCCTAAAACTAGGAAGACAAATGCTCAATGTCTATTGTTCAGTGTAGCCTAAGTGTTTTATTGTTTTAGCAACATTTGAATACATGTCCTACAGCTGCATTTCTGTGCAAACACTGTTTTGGACAATGAAGCGGCTTACATTGACCTGTACAGTAGTTCAGTTCAATTTTGCTTGGCTCCTCTTCATTCTTCTCTTGTTCCCATTTAGTGGATCTCCAGAGGCCCTCAACACAGTTTTCCCACTTAAAATAACCAGGAGTGGCCTTCTAAACTGCATGGATGGGGCAGCCCTGAGAACCACATGGGAGCTGTGTGTTTAGTCTTTTAGTCGTGTCCGACTCTTCGTGACCCCATGGACCAGAGCACGCCAGGCCCCATGGACCAGAGCACGCCATGGGAGCTGCTCTAAGGTATATAGTAGTAATAATTGTGAGCTGTTACACCAGTTCTGACTTACAAAAAACCTTTCCATGCCTTTTTAGGTACAGAGTACTCCGAAGGGGTATTCTCTTCTTCTGAGGGCATCCTGGGACAGTGCAGCTTGCCCAAGGCTACACAGGTTGGTTCTTCTTTTGGGAGGCACAGTGGGGAACTGAATTCCCAGCTTCTGGCTGCCCAGCCACTTACATAAGTCACTGAGCCATCCAGCTCTAACAGCCCAAGGCTACACAGGTTGGTTCTTCTTTCGGGAGGCACAGTGGGGAACTGAACTCCCCGCTTCCGGCTTCCCAGCCACTTACCTAAGTCACTGAGCCATCCAGCTCTAACGTGTTTGGACATGGGGAGATGCATGTACTGTATTAATAAATGGACAACAGAAGCCATTCCTGGAGTTAGATATATATTTAAATCAGAGGACATAAGAAAAATCATGAGGGCAAAACCCCAAATGTTACAGCAGAAATATAACTTTATTATGAATAATCTGAGTATCTCAGCAACAGCATGACTCAAAACTGAGAAATAAATATCTTCATTATGCAGCAAGACAGACAGATCCACCCACAAAATAGCAGTGGTGGCGGCGGCAGTAGCAGCAGGAGCAACAGTACTACTGAGATCCATTTTTGGAGGCTTTAAGTGCGTACACAAACATCATGAACAAACCAAAGCCAGACAGAAAAGGAAGCTTTGTGTCTCTTCTCTTTACTGTCCTCTAGAATCTCATTCTCAGCCACAAGAATCTGAACTAGTGACCTGGTTCTTTTCATTTTCCCTCTCCCCAGAGCATTTGTGATACATATTTCTTGGGTATTATTCCTCCAGTCATTCCCCCCACCCACACAAATATAGCCACAATGCTTGGCAACTTTGAGACAGGCTTTTCTGGCTGCATAAGAAATAGAAATATGTTGTGATGACCTGGCACTATCACCCAGCTGTGTTTCCACACTCACTGATCAGATGTTATTTCACTCTAGTAATGGTATTCTTTCATCCACCCAACGGCACTTCCAGATGAGGCTCGTTCTTGGGTGGCTGCCCTCCCTAACTGGTGAGTTTTACAGGGGTACATTTTTCTTCATGGTGATGCCCACTGTGTGGAGTCATCTTGCCACAAAGATCAAGTGGGCCCCTAGTGGGCAGTGCTTCCACCACCTCCTTAAGACTAAAGCTTGAAAGTATCATGACCATGCCACCCAGCATATCCTGATCTCCTTTGCTTTCAGAAGCTAAGTATATCCAGACCTCATTAGTACCTGGATGGGAGACCAGGAAGGAATAGCCAGGATTTCCTAGTACAGTGAGGAACGGATCTTGCATGAAACCTTGTAGAGCCACTGAGAGTCAGAGCTGACAACACTGGACTGCATGGGCCAATGGCTGAATTCAGTGCAAGGCAGGCTTCCTAAGTTCTTATGAATTCTCTCATCAGCAGAACCACTGGGAACTTTGTAGTCCCAAAAACCAATTTTTCCAAGCTATGATTCAGATATAATTGTTTGTCTAGGCCTTTCCCTTACTGTCAGTACTGCTGGCTTGCTTCTGGGGAATTAGATATTTTATTATCATGTTCCTTTAATAATGTAATTGCATTTTATATTATTTCCACTTTTTGAACTATTATGGAGTATTTTAAAAGGAAATGCATCACACATTTTTTTCTTATTAACTAAATAATTTTAAATCTTGTATCTTCCCTGTGCTCTCCCTTGCCTTGTTTTGTCTTCATATCAAAAATATCTGTTAAGAAGGAGCAGATGAAATAAGTTTGTAATGCTTTTGGATGAATAGTGTCAGGAATCTTTCACCTGGAAGCCCCCAAGGAATACCTCATTTATAAGACAGCATTCAAAGTAACTCAGAAAAGGCATTCGTTTGATATCTGTGTCCATTTCCCTGTGGCCAGAAATAGCACAGATGACAAAAGCCTTGTGGTTGTTTATGTAATGAACAATATTTTATTAATACAAACTAAGAGGGTGACTACATGGGCATTTTGCCCACTGCTGGTCCCCTGTGAGGATGGGCTGGTTCACTTGTAAAGCTAGAGAACAGACTATTACTAGAACTAACTGGTCGATTGCCAGAGCACTTTCACCTGCACCTTTCTCGGTCCTTGTCAAGGACTTCTACTTTTTTTTTGGTGAGGGTAGGCTTGCTCCATTTTTGTTTGTTTCCAGTGCACATGATAGTCAGAAACAAACCAAAGGCAGCTTTCTGCTATCCCTTTGCCTTCCTCTTTGAATTTCCCTTATCATGAAGTAGCTTAAGAATACAGCCACATCATGATGTTGGGAAGTTAAACACTTCCTGTTCTTCTCCATGAATGAGGAAATTGTGTGTTCTTGACACCTTTCTTTCCAGGTAACATTAGGATTACAGAGTATTTTAACTTTACTGCTTAGGTTTGTTTTGTAGTACCAGGCAGCATTCTAAAGATTTTGAAAAAAGAAACTAAAGTTTATTATTTAGTCACTTCTGAATAGTAACCGGAAACCTGAAAATTTGTGTTTTGGCCTGTGATTGGAATGCTGCCTGGAGTATTCTGGGGACTGTAGGCCAAAAACACAAATCCACCCATCAAGGTACAAGAAACCAAGTAGTTACTGTAAAAATAGCAACTATAATGCCAACTAATTAATTATTTTAGTTGGAACCCTTGTCACCATAACTATAAGTAGTTAGTTACAAGAGTAGTTAGGGAGCCTCTCTCCAAAGATTTTGCAGTGAGGTCCACCTTGTTTTGATCTGTGACTTGTCCTGGACTGTAACTATTTTTTAAAAAAATATTTTTGCCAGTTCAAGGTGACCCAGAGTGCCATGAAATCCCAGTAAACGAGTATAAAGAGAATTTCAATCCATGTCTTATTTGTCAAAAGGTTGCTTCGCCCCTACAGGAATTCTTCCCAGACTGTGGGATTACAGTTGATGAGAAGGTCACTTCAATGAGGTAGTGGAAGTTCTCTGAACCTTGTTTCTGAGTCATCATACTGAAATTTTGAGAGCTCATCTTACTCTTCAGATCTTAACCATGGGTCAGCATAGTGAGGTTTGCACTTATCTGTATTCACTTAGAGACATGATTGGAAGGATTCTTGCCATAGCAGGGAATCTAAAAGGAATGTTTGGTCTTTTGGTGAAGTCACTTTGAATATTTTCTTGAACTATTAAAACCTTTTTAAAAAAAAAAAAAAAACACTGAAGTCACTTTGAATATTTTCTTGAACTAAAACCTTTAAAAAAAAACATCACCAACTAGTACTGACAGTAGGTAATTTTAAAAGAGGAAATTGCCCAGCAACTTTTGGTGCACATCTTCCTCAGGACCAAGTATTCTGCTTGTTGAATTACTCTAGCATGGCAACGTTGCTCTTCTTTTGCTTTTGATGCAAGGTCTTTTATATCTGGTCTTCTTGCAAAAGTAAAGGGCCCTAGCTGTAATACTAAGTACATTCATCAGGCACCAAGCCCTCCTGAACTCAGTGTGACTTAGTCTGTAGGGATATGTTAGAATTATTCTGTGTGTTTCTCTAATAAACGTGTCTCAGTACAAAAATATATGGCTAAGGAACACTTGATTTATTCTCTGTCTTCCCCTATCCGTTCTCTTTAACTATGACATATGCATAGATCCAGCTAGAAGAGACACTCAGCTTGCATTTAGAAACTGACAGCTGTTATTCTTCCCACAGTGTGACCTCCTCAGAGTGAGTCTTGGCAATCATACTTTCAAATTAAGTCCGTATTTACCTTCCAATAACCAACCACAAAACAAAACTCTGTGCCATACAAGATACAGAGATGAGGGAAAGCATGTATGTGCTGACTGTATCAGATCTGCTTCTCCTACACTGGCATGTGGGCAACAACACAAACTATTGCTATTACAGCAGCAACAGGAAGCAACAGAAACCCTAAAAAAAACGGTACAGTGGTTATTGGCCCAAATGGTGCAGTGATAAGTAGCCTATGCAGAAGGCCCGATTTGCAATTGCAGGATGAGGCTTTGGTGCAGAGAAGAAAAGTGTCTTCCAAATGCTTGCATTAGCTGATGATATTCAGTGCATCAATTAATGAGTGAAGCTCATCACGCACATTCTCCAGGGAGTGGTGGATCTTCTGTGGGCTGTCTAAGAGCTCAATGCTGTATGTGTACGGATCATACTTCACTGAGAATGGGCGCTTGATATGTGCTGCATAGGCCCTACAAGACAGAGGACAAATGTCAAAGGCAAAAAAGTTGATGCTGAACTGGAAGTACTTCTGAGAGAGAAATGTTTTCCCCAATTTGGTGTCCTTCAGATCTTGTCATCTACAACAAGTCCAGTGAACTCTGAACACTGACCATGTAGGCTAAGGGTAAAGAGAATTATAATGAGAAACATCTGGACAGCACCATGTTGGGGAAAGTGGTACAAACCTTTTTGGCAATATATAGACTGGACACATAACCATTTAAACATCTGAAAATGGCAACCAACTGCATGACTACACTTTATGTTTAAAATGCGGAAAAATATTAATGTCTCCTTCCTGCATTTAAATATGAAAATGGAGATTCCATTTGTTTTTCTTAGCAATTTACAAGGTATTTTCTTATAACAAGTGCTTATTTCTTCTAGTGCCTTTAGCTACATCACAATGTCCCTTTATCTAAACTATACCGAATGACAATAATTCACAAATATTACCCTGTTCATTGTAACTTGGCATGAATGGCATACAAGTCTGTGCTTGGTACTAGCTTATGGCCAAGAAAAATTGTTCTTGGTCTCCGTCTACTTCTCTTTGGGCATATCATGGGCAAAAAAGAAAAGAAAAGAAAAGAAAAGAAAAGAAAAGAAAAGAAAAGAAAGAAAAGAAAGAAAGAAAGAAAGAAAGAAAGAAAGAAAGAAAGAAAGAAAGAAAGAAAGAAAGAAAGAAAGAAAGAAAGAAAGAAAGAAAGAAAGAACCCAGTCCTATCCATGCTAATGGTGTTTTATATTGCAAAAATAAGTTTGAGGCAATGAGGTGATGGAAGGAAGGAAGACACTGTGTAACAAGGGTCTAGAACAGTACAAATACAATTAGATTTGGCAAAAATGGGAGGTGAAGAAGCAGCTCACTCTCTAGGGGCTAAAAACTGGGAATAAGCAGCAACTGCCTGTCAGCTGCAAACAGGATAGAAGGCTAGGCCTCACCAGGTGAGATGCTGAATCCATATGTAGCAGCAATGCACCCTTAAGAGGAATGGATGGTTTATTCTACCCTCAATTCACTTTATGCAGATTGGCTTGCTTTTGTGTTGTAAAGAGTCAGGTTACAGAACTGGCTTTATATGAGTGTTTGATTTCTCAGGTACAATGCACTGGAAGGTTTGTCGCTGCAACAAAAGGAATCAGGAAAGAAAGGGGAACCTTCTCGCAGAGTTTGCCTTGGCACAAGTGGAGCAACAACAGCAGACACCGAGATATGTTGTGTAATTAATAAAGATTATAAGGTAATAATTGTACAACTGGCCATTTAAACATTTAAATAATGTGGGTTTTTTTTTTTGGTATTTTGGAAAAAAAGCCTCCATTTAATTTTTTAAAAAAACTTTTTAATGAATATTTTTAATATGACTGTTTCTTGGTCAGTTCACTAAGTGACATTGATTGGCAGCTATTGTAATAAAATTGTATTGATTGCGGGTTTAATCCAGAATGATTCAAACGAAATATTAAATACGTCCTCCTCTGTCCTCTTTTTTGTCTTTCTATGTCCTCCTTTTGGTACCCATGTATCTGCCAACCCTAACCTGGAAGGATAACATGGTAAAGGGGGAAAATAAGCATGTACCACAGTGTGTAATCTGACCCCTGGATGAACAAACTGCTAGCTTGAAGGACTGCTATTTTAAGACAAGTCATGGTTTCTTTTGTATTAGTCTTGGGTAGAGACGGACATGAATCAGCTACCCATGAACCAGAAACCATCGAACTCCCCTCCCCCAAAAGCAAACTGGTTCAAGGTTTGTTTCTGGGTAAGTACTGGTGATACCACCTCATTCCCCCATCGCCTCCCTACATGGTCCTGCTGTCACTGCCTCCCTCCTCTGCCACCACCATCGTCAGAGACAGAGGGTTCACTTCCTGTCCAGGAGCCAGGCCTGCTATCTCTGTGCATGCACCCACCCATCAGCTAGGTGGCAGGTACCTACATAGGGACAGCAGGCCTGTTTCCTGGAAGGGAAGCCAGTCTTCTGTCTCTGATGATGGCAGCAGAGGAGGAGGTGGCGGCAGCAAGACTGAGGCGGGAGGTGACGGGGCAGTGGGAAGGGGACAGGCAGGCATCTTGATTTGTTGAAGGAAGAAACACTGAGGGGGGGGGGGAAATCAGTGCTTCATTTTGCTTTGTCAAAATGGGATCCCTGAACTGAACCATGAACCAAACAACAAACCAGCCTGATTTGTCAGTTTTTTTCTGCGTTGTAGTTTGATTCATGCCCATTTCTAGTCGCCAGTGCCCCAGGGTGAATGATCCTAAGCAAGACCGTTAATGTCAGGACTTTTTGGAGGGTTGCGGATTCACAGAGTTGCCATAAGTTGGGAGTGACAGGATGGCACCTCACAGCCACAGTCCAGTATGAGCAATGACAGGAAGTAAGACGCCAGAGCATTGATCTAGAACAGAAGTGGAGAACACTCCCTCCCTAGCCCCTGACTTTTTTTTTTCAAAATCCACTGATGCAACAACTGTGTGAAGTACTTGGATGAGAGACTCCAGGAGTACCACCAAGTGAGATGTCTTGGGTTATGTGATGAATGAAACCAGAAGATAGAAGTCTAACAACTCATGACAGATAGATAAATATGATTGAAAGCTGACACACCAGCTGAGACATGAGGAGCAAAAACCCTCATGTGAAGGACATATACATCATGCATGTGAAAAAAAAACACAGTTCATCTTAATATCACATTGCCTACCCATTTAGTATTAGTAACACACCAATGTCCCAGCTGAAACAAAAAAAAGGACTTGTGCTAGTAGCTTAGCACTTCCTCACTGCAAGAGTAAGCAGTAGGTGATACCTTTAGAGACCACTAATAAATAAATAAATAAAAAACATGCAACAGGCAAGCTTTCCTCATTGCTTATACTCTGGCGCCCTCTAATGTCTTTGTTAAAAACACTCCGCTGCAAAAAATAAACCAAGAAACCTGGAGATTTGGGGGAGTTCTTAGAACAAAAGCAAAGCAAATTCTCCCCCACTCCTGATTCACAGCATAGAGTTTCCCACTTGCTGTAGCAGCGAGACATCCCATCCTTTCTTACCGGCCTTGCCCTGCATCCCATGGCTGTGTTTCTTTCTTCTTCATTTTGAACCTTACCTGAGTTTAGCTTTGGCATCACTTATACTCTCAGATAGAAAATAAACAGGTTGATACGTCTGATCTTGGTAAGGCTGCACAGCTGTCGAAACAGGGTCAAAATCCCGGAGCTCCGGTTCATCCGACAAAGAGTGCTTGAATGAAGAGAGAAAAGCAAAGCAACATCACTCGTGGAAAAAATTGTAGAGCACTGGATGTTGCTTCTGACATGCAATTGCTGATTGGTATCGTGCAAAGCCCCCTCAAAAGAAGTTAGTTACCTTAATAGTTCCTATTTGAAAGTAACTGTTCATTTTTCAAAAATTAACTAACAAACACTATTCATTTTGTAACAGCTCCAACATGTGAACTGTGCAATATTCCTCCTCTCTCTTTTGGTGAGCCCCTTCCCTCACTACAAAAATAATCTAAAATTCACTGTGAAATTGCAAAAGGAGCAGAGTCGCCATTGTAATCAATCAATCAATTAATTAAAGATCATGAATTGTTGTAGCTAGTTATTCCCAAGGTCTAGGGTGTCCCTCACACAACCACTATGAAAAAAAGACCCAAATGAGATAGCTGCACGGAGGGAATGAGATAGCTGCACGGAGGCAGTCGTGTCCTTTCATTTAACTGGGAGAAGAACTGAATAGAATAGGTGAAGACTTACTATTAGCTCTCCATAGGAAGAAAGGAGTCCAGCTCCATAGGCTTTGATGATTCCATTCTGTTTGCAGAGCCCAAATTCCACCGTAAACCAATAAAGCTGGGAAAAACAGGGGGATCCAAGAGAACGTCAGCAATTCAGAACAGTTTGGATTTTGTTTTCTAAACTTCCTTTCCTCCGGACCTCTGGAAATGCTATCAGGCTCCAGGGAATCCTTGATGAATGGGTCAGCAGGAGTGGGACTCTTATCTCCACAGAAGCCATATCCTGAACCCAACCATTGCTTTCTTTTCCAAGTAATTTAGAAAAAGTTGTCTTTTTTCCCCCCATTATTTTCCAAGAATTTTTCTTCCGTCATTTTACACTGTCAAGGGCTTTATCTTTGGGTCCTCTCAGGTTAGACTCAGTTGACCTTTTGCCTATAAGCAAAGACCTTGTTGTTCATGCAGGCCTTTGGCAACTGTCTGACTACTGAGGAAGGGGGCATTTAACTGGGCAAATACTATCTTTTTTTATTGAGGTGTTCTAAGACATTTTCAATGTAATTCTGTGGGACTTTTTAATTTTATTTTAATATTTCATAATTATGTTTTCCTGTGTGCTGCCTGAAATTTGGAAGAAAGATGAGACAGAAACCAAATAAATAAATAAATAAATCATGGCCTGAATCCTAGAGATAGTCCCAATTAATGCAGACCCACTAAATTAAATTAGATTTAAATATATTAGAGATGTGGGTATTCGTATTCATATATGAATACGAATATCCCCGCACAGGTGGCATTAATGAAGGTCCACCCCCATTGGTCCACTCACCAATCCACCATAACGCAGATGGCACAATTCTACCATTGGCTCCGCAGTGCGCGATCTGTTCGCCACTTCTGGCAGGAGGTGGGAGGACAAAACTCCCTGCAAGGTCGAAGAGTGTCAATGTGGATTGTGTGCTCCAGAGCTATTGGAGGAATCACACCATTCACGTCTGTGGCAGATCGGTGAGTGGACCATCCAGCCTCATGAGGCTGGACCGTCGTTGACACCACCTGTGCCGAAATATTCGTATACGAATACCCCCATCTCTAATGTTGATCCATCATTCAGTAATTAATTCAGTGGCTCTGCTCTTGTTGGGACTAGCAAATGGATTTAGTCCATATGTTTAAATTATCTGTTATATGATTTTTTAAAGCTCATTTTCTATGAACTTGGTTCTTCTGGTAGGTCCCCATGCTAACACTGAAAATCCATAGCCTTAAATATTCTTGCTTCCCCTTTAGATAATAAATATACTGCACCTTTGCAGACGGATCCATGTATCTCTGGAAAGGTCAAGAGGCAGATAGAGGAGAGAGAATGTAATGGGCATGGCCTTCTCCTCCCGAGGGAATAATGTGAAGCAAAGGGAGCAGTAGAGTGAGATATTACTGCTTTTACCACTTTCCCTTTCCTGCTCCCTAATTCTCAGCATTAGTGCTTGATTCAGGAGGACCTTTGAGCTGGCTGTGCCAGTGACATCTCTGAGCTGCCATGAGAGCCTCTCTATAATAGGGTAACCTATAAATTTACTCTTATCCCTACAATTTGTTGAAGTTGGTTGTAGGGCTCAGTGGTTTAGACACCTGGTTATGAGTCTGATATCCCACTGTGCTTCTCAAGGGTAGAGCCCACCTGGGTTGTAGGGCTCAGTGGTTTAGACACCTGGCTGCAAAGCCAGAGGTTAGGAGTCTGATATCCCACTGTGCTTCCCAAGGGTGGAGCCCACCTGGGCAGCCTTCGGCAAGCTACACAGTCCCAGGGCAACCCTAGAAGAAGAGAATGGGAAACAACTTCTGAGTATTCTCCAGCTGGAAAGGCTTGCCATAAGTCAGAATTAACTTGATGGGACATGATTATTATTTATTATTATTACAATTTGTTTTGTGTGTCTATGACTTTGCGTCGTTGATATATTATTTTTATTGATTTTTTGTTTTGTACATTTTCATCTTTCTTAGATGTCTTGACTCACTTCTTTTTTTCCCTTAGGGGGAAAGATGTCTAATAATTCTTATTACTGGGATACGAGGCAAGTCCCAGCTGTTCTGACCTGTGTTTGTGCAAACACCAAACTTGCTCTGGGGAGGGGGGGTCAAAGAGTGCATGCATCACTTTCCCAGGAGGACTTTTTTTTTTTCTTTCACCAGGCATTTTACTGTTACGTTTGGGACAAATAGATCTAGGTTTGGGGGAGGGGGGGAATCCTTTAAACCAGCCCATCGATCCAGCAGAAGGACCTTACTGTTGAAAGTTTTTCGATCTCCTCATCAGTTGCTCCCAAAGATGCAAGTCCAATGGCCTAGAAGGAATTTAAAAAAAAACAACACAGAATGCTGTGGGAATTTTTCTAATGATAATGTGTTTTTGCACGCACACTTCACATCTTACGAAAGTCAATAGTTCTTACACAGCTAAGTTCTGTCTGAGGAAGTGGACTTGCCCATGAAAAAAATCACATTAAAACCTAGCAATTAGTTTTATGGTGCTCAGTGTTTTTGTCTTCTTTACTTTTTTTTCCTTTTGTTTTGGGCCTGATAGGCTAAGTCCTGTTGGAGTATTGCTAATTATAACTTGAAAAGAGGGTAGAGATTTATGCTCTGGTGCTGCATCTCTCCTCTCTTCTGCCAGGGAAAGTCTGCAAGGGAGTTAGACTCACATTTAGCTCAGTGTGATTTTTGAGCTCCATGAGATCAACCCCACCCCAGTAAGAAAGTTCCTAGTTTCCTCTCCCTGCTTCTAAGATCTCCTGAAAAAGGAGGTAGCATCACTAAGTGAGAAGACAGTCAGCTCATCTGCTGATTGTCGCCATCTTCATATTGTACTACTTTGTGCTGTATAATTCCTCATGATAAATGGGCTAAAGATGAAGCTGAGAGTCAATGTCAGTTGATGCTCTAAAAAATTCTCATTCTTCTATAGCCTATTCAATGAATCCACATGCAATCTCTACTTTTGGAGGACCAGGATTTATTTATTTTCTACAGTTGTTGGGAGCTTTGCCTTCCAGATGTTTTAAAACACAACACTCATAAATCCTTTACTTTTGGTCATGATGGCTGGAGATTCTGAGACTTATTATCTAAAAATCTGGTGGTCTTCCATCACAGATTTATTACCTTGAACTACTGTCTGATGCCAACTGTAGATACAAATGAGTTCATCTATATAGACAGAAAAAGCGCAGTCTTTTGTATGAAATTCCCACAACCACCTTGAACAGGTTGTAGGGTTTATGTGTGTGTGTGTGTGTGTGTGAGAGAGAGAGAGAGAGAGAGAGAGAAAGATACAGAAAATATAAGGTAAGTTTAGTTCTACTTTATCAGTCTAAAAATTAGCCTATGTTTATTACTACAGACAGCATCATATCTTGAATCATTCATTCATGTTTCTGAAACTGGATGTTTGGAGGTATTTATAGTACTGTATACAGTTTTGCTTTCAAATGCTTGTCCATGTAAAAACTTTATTCTTGCTCGCCATTTCAAGAGATGATGGGAATGCCTTGTTAATTGACCTAGAGATTCAAGTTCCAGTCCCTTCTCTGGATTCTATGAAGTGAAACCTCTGAATGGCAAAGAGGATGTAACTACAGTGGACCCTCGACTTACAGACGGCTCGACTTACAGACTTTTCGAGTTACAGACTTCTCTGGCCGCAAAATTTAGGTTCGACTTGCAGCTGGAGAATCGACTTACAGACCAGAAAAAACCAAAATGGAACAAAAATAGAATAAAAGCTGCCAGTTATGGGATTAATCGGTTTTCAATGCATTGTAGGTCAATGGAGATTCGACCTACAGACTTTTCGACTTGCAGCCACCATTCCAATATGGATTATTCTGTAAGTAGAGGGTCCACTGTATAACTGTCAAAGACAAGTGTGTATGGCTCCAAATAGGTGTCACATCTTAAGACATAGACAAGATGGAGAGAATCTGGTGGAAGACAGTGAGGAGGGCAAAGGGTGTAATGGTGGGAAGAGCTGTGAATATTTATGAGAATGGTGAAAGACATGATAGCATTTTTCAAATAACTGAATGGTTGGCATGCAGAAGATGGAAAAATCTTGAGCTCCAGGGCTGTAACTAGGTGTGGGCAACTGGGACTTTGCCCCAGGGTGCAAAATTTAAAAGATGAACCTCTTCACCTCAGATTTCACAAAATATTGACCCAGCAGCCTGCTCTACTGCCATAGGAAAGTACAGCAGTAGACAGGGCTCCAGAGAAGAGCAGATAAAGTCAGTATTTTGGGCCTCAGTGAGGCATCAAGGCACAGATCTACCCAAGATTCAGTAAACTTGAACTTTGGCCGGGGCATTGGTGAGGCATTATCATCCAGATTGTAGGCTGATTTAATCAGATTGTAGTCATACCACACCTCCACTGTTGGAAGGCATGTCTATTCAGATCCTGGTAGATAAAGTCTTTAGGCTAGACAGTGCAGAAGGCAACTTATTTATATATGGAAATCAGATTTCAGCTGAATACCAGGAAAAACTTCCTAACTGTTAGAGCAGTATGGCAATGTAACCGATTACATTGTCCTGTGGTAAGGGCTCCAACACTGGAGGCATCCAAGAGAAATTTAGACAATCACCTGGCAGATATCCTTTGATTTGGCTTCCTGCATTGAGCAGGGAGTTGGACTCAATGTCCTTATAGGCCCCTTACAACTTCATTACTCTATGATTCTATGATTCTATATACACTATGCTAAACAACATTAATAAACAACATACTCTACTCTACTCTACTATAGATAGCAATTTCAATTTGTTTTTGCTTTGGCAGTGCTGCTGATCTCTTACGGAGGAGGTGAAATTCTGGCAAGCCATAATTACTTCTTGTATTCTTTTCACAACAGCTAATTCAGTGACATGTTTGCACTGCCTGCCCACTACTACAACAGAGAATTCTCAGTACTTCACTAAACTACAAACCCCAAGATTCCATGCTTTGGAGCCACCACCATTAAGGTAGAACCAAATTGCTGTAATTATGCAGTGCAGGTATATTCTAACACAATGATTTGTCAGGTTTTCTGGGCAAGCACAAGCTGGACTTTCAGCACAGGGCAATTCGCATCTTGCTCACCTGGGAGAATTGTGCAAATGTCTTGTCTGCCAACATTGGCACATGTCCCAGGAGTTCATGGCAGCAGTCCCTTTGTAGCAGAAAGAAAGTCTGTTAGCTGTTCAGTTCCAAGCAGCAGGTCAGATACTAAGCATCTGGTGTGCAAACGATCATAGGCAGGGTAGTGATGGCCGGATGTTAAATCAGACAACAATGTCAGGGCGAGGTTCCTCCCCTACCTCGAAATCACAAACTTCCACAGGATATGATAGTAAAGATGTGAGCAGAGCATATCTATGAGATCATACTTACGGCTCTGGAGAATGCATGGGAGAAGAGGCATGGCGGATGTACTGGGTGCACTGAAACACCTGGAAGGCCAAGCTGGCCAGGAAGTCACGAGCGGAGAGAAGGCCAGCTACAGGCCGGAGCTGGAACCCTGTTTTCTCTGAAACGGACCAATAATTGGTTGCATTAGTTCAGTCATATTTCATTAAATTGTACAATTGGCCCAAACTGAGGAAGTCGATATCCTTTCTTACACTATCAAGAGTGGGGAAGGTTTAACAGTTTACAAATCCCTTTCCTAGTATATTACTTACTGTAGAAAACCTTGAGAAAAGTTGGAACCAAACTGATAACACATTATTGTTACTACTGTTGTTGCTTTCCATGTGTACAATCTTGTTACACTTATTCTATTAGCTGTAGAGATCACGTTTCTGTTTCTCTTTGTTTTCAGCCAGTTGATATTACCTGTTTCCTCATACTAACATATGTATAAACATTTTCTCACCCATGTTACATAACATTATGCTAAAGATTTGTTTGTAGCTTTTGAAATACGTGATATTTTTCTCTGGAACTCCTATGAATCCATTGTGAGGTTCCTTGTGTGGGCTATACTATTTGGCAATACAAGGCATCTGTGTATCCACAACGGAACCTGATTCTGTCATTCAGCACAACGCTTATTGTGTGACTAAAGCAAGCCTTTCTAGGATGCTTGCAGCTGTGTTCTTTGGGGGGGTTATAAGTGCTATTATATCATCAGTCTGTGTTTTCTTTTAAAGTCTATACACAGCAGGGGTGAGCAAAGTGCGGCCAGTGATGCGCATGTCAACCTTCAGGCACCCAAATGTGTCCCCCACACTGACTCTAGAACCTCCTAGCCTCTTCTCCCACAAATAATTTTTAATTAATATATTATTTCCTCTCCCCACGCCCAGGAAGTCCCTTTGTGCTCTCAACAGGGCACATGAAGCAATTTTACCATGTCTGATCGCCTTAGCATGCTTGCGCCCAATCAAAGGAAATGGCCATCTATTAGGAGGTATGGTAAATAATGAAGCCCCATACCTTAGCAACTGAAAGTGCCCAGGTCCTCACCTTTTAAGAAAGAGGAGACATCCTCCAGCTGAGGGATATTGTTTTCACTGTAGCCACAGTATCTCTCCAGCAAATGGAAGGCATCCAGGTGTTCTTTGCAGGCATGTGTGGGATAGAGGCTCTTCAGTGTACTGTACACCTCCCTCCTTCAGAATAACAGAAGGAAGTCATATCTCTCCAAGATGTTTTGCACAGCTGAGGAAGATAGTCCTGCCCTAAGTCCAATGTCATGACTATGATCAGCCACGAATGTAAAAAGACTTCAGCCTTTCACACTGCCTGAAAACATATACCAGGGGTTTCTCTGGGTTTTGAGTTAGCAGAAGGGGCCGTGAGATGCAGGGAAGAGGCAAGGAGGAGACAAAATTGCCATTTTTGCGGTTCCACTAGTGAGGCCATTGTGTTGTGAGAACAACCCCTTTGACCCCTGCCTCTTGATTTCTGGCAGCCTTGGCACTTACTCGCTTTACTCTCGTGGTCAGGATGTCCTTAACAGTAGGATGTGGGAAGCTCCCACCTCATCTCACTAATGACAATCATTAAGACCCAGAGTGAATGAACTGAGAAACCCACTGAAACTTGTGAAATTCATACCTAGAGAGACCCATTGAAGACGGTGAGATTATGAAGCCTGCTGAGACCCCACCAGGATATCCTTTTTGCATTTTGTGTGCAGGAAGCTTTAAAAAAGGTGCATCCCTACTCACCAAGTTGCGACCTCTTCTGCTGTGTATTCCACCCGAGGAATTGGCTCACCACTTGCAGAGGAAAATGAGTTTAGTAAAGAGGAAATGATACAAGTCCAGTGAAATTAATTCATAGAATCACAGAATATAGGGATTGGAAGAGGCCTTTAAAGCCATCAAGTCCAAACCCCCTACTCAATGCAATACTCCAAATCAGAGTATATCTGACAGAGGGTTGTCCAATTTTCTTTTGTATGCTTCTGGTATTGGTCCGAGGTAATTGGTTCCATTGTTGGACTCCTCTAACAGATAAGAAATTTTTCCTCACATTCAAACAAAATCTGGCTTCCTGTAACTTGAGCCCATTACTATATGTCCTGCAGTCTCAGATAATTGAGAGTAGATCCTACCCACTCCTCTGTATGCCAATGTTTCCAGCTACTCAAATCAGCCTGAGTGGTTTTCAAAGGCAGCCACAGGAAAGGGAGTGAATGGGAGTCTTTGAAAAGACACTGGTCATACTCCTTTTTTATTCCTTCTTAAACACACCATTGAAGAAGCCTGCTGTTCTCTACACTTCCTGTCCTTTCCCTCTCCACTCACGTTTCCTCTTCCCTGAATCTGAAATTAGTAGTGCTATGGCCGCAGTGCAGACAGATGATTTAATCAATGACTTTGCAGCAGGAAAAGTAACAAGGTTCATTTCTAACACAAATGGTGCAATTCTCTTCTCTATTGCCATCTAGAGCCTTTGTGACTTTTTCTTTCAATTTCCCCACTTCCAATTATGATGCATGAATGCCATATTTAACCTGAGAGATACATGTGAGGATGCCACTGACCTCGTTATTCCTTCCCAGGCTCTTTGGTCTATGCTGTGGTCACCCCAGAAATGCACAAATGCCTCCGATTCAATTTGTGTTCATGCATTTGTCCAAAAAGCGGGACACATCCCTAACAACCAACTATAAGCCACATCATAACATCAAGAAAATCTGTGGACACACAGACCCAGCATAAAGTCTAGGTGTCAACACCTAGAAAATGCATTGACATTGTTTTTAAATTATAAAAACACGGGATAAATTGTAGACTTTTTTTCATAATGTTAATATTTTAATAATGTTAATAATGTTAATTTTAATGCTGTATTTCCAAGCTTTGGTCTCACTGTGACCTTTGTGATTGTGGTATATATGACTTTTAAGAGAGAAAAAGCCGCTTGAAGACTTTCATGTGGATGTTCTGTAATATAAAAAAACTAAACTGAATGTAAGGTACGTGCTTTAACTGGAAATGATGGGTAGCTCTTTTTTTTTTTCAAGATAAGGAGGATGTGGGGGGGGGGAGAAGATAAATTTACATTTCCCTATTTTATATTTGGTTACTACTGAAGTGTTGAGAAGAGAACCCAACACTGAAACATAGGTTTGCAGGATTTAACTGCATCCATTTAATTCAAGTGTGAATCTGTAAGATTTCAAGTGTGAAAATTTCTGCAGGAAGAGCAACTAGGGACAGAAAAATCAGTCAGTTTTTGTTTGCATATTGAACCAGGAAGTGGAGATTAAGCAGCCAGATATTTATATGCAAAATTGGACACATTGCTTCCCATAGCAGCACTATCCATTTAGCAGATCTATCTTGTACAGAGGGGAAATGTGCACTTACTATTTATAGTGGAAAGCAATTTCTGCTATCGTTTTCCTTCGCTGCCGATATGCTTGGTCAGAAAATCCCTTGAGGAAAAGAACAGGGCAAAAAAAGATTACCTCACATTTCAGTCCGGAACAGTTTTAATAATGGGAATGGACTGTTCTTATTATGGATTGTTAAACATGGTGAGAGAAGACTAATAAACTTCTTTGCACAATATACTTACCATGGTTTACACTCAGTGCCTAAACAGGGTCTTCAGCTTCGTGATATATGCCTTTCTTCTTCCCCTTGAGGAGCTCACATGTATGTAAAACAACTGTGAAGCTTTAACAAGTGAGCATAGAATATTTCTGCAGATTTTTGGTCTTTTCTTCTGAGCAGACCCACAGTCCTTTGTATTGAGGTGTGGGATGCAATGATGAGGATCATTATAGCACTTTGGAGTGCAAGTGTGGTTGATTTGGAACTGTTTCTAGCAGATGGTGAGACATTTTCTATAAATTTCTAATATCCTTTGATATAAAGAACTGTCACCTCTGTGTCCACTCCCAGCAATTTTCATCCCCCTCACCAAGAGTTTTGTACGATGCTACAGCATGCCTTTTGTTAAATCTATTCAACTCAATCCAACATTCCATTGGTGAAATGCTGGGGACTTGCTTCCTTTTCTTCTCCTTACATCCTTCTGCAATGTTCCCTGATTTGTACAGATTTCCCAATTGTCCAGAGCAGATTTTGGAGCTATATCAGAGGCAAGGCTGCAGTGAGGAAAGGGTATAACCCTGCCTGAATTCTACTAGATTTTGTGATTTTGCCAGTGGAAGCCCACTAACGGATTTTGCCAATGACTCTGAATTGCCCATTCAAGATCAAATCCTTTCAAGATACTTGGTGCACAACAGGGAGAGTTTACAACAATGTATTGCTTGTAGGAGAATCTCACTTCTCTTCACCTACTGTAAGGACATCAACTGAGCTCAGAGGGAGCAAAGAAGCCTAAGTGTAATGGCAAATGATGTCACTGTAACTGCTCATCAAATGATGTCACTGTAACTGCTCATCTCAGTGTTTTCCCTCTGCAAACCCTGGTACCAGTAAATACTTGGTTGATCCAGAAGAATAATTTTACACAAAAGGAATACCAGAGTGGGATTCTGATGAAGGAGAAAAGCATGCTAAGGAGAAGAATGCTTGTAAAAACTGAATTATTCACTCACCGGGTGATCCAGATCCAAATCAGGGTCAAATTTGGTGACCAAATGGTGACACTTATCTAGCTCAGAGATTTTTCTTGGAAACCAATGAACTGAAAACCAAGCAAAGAAAATGGAAGTGGGAATGGGATTTTATAAAACACCTTGTCAGTTCAGAAATCACACCATGATCCTAACTCAGATTACGGAAGTTTGCATGTTACCTAGAAACAACCATCTAGAGCAGTGCTTCCCACTTGTTGTGACCCCCTTTTATAATAACCAAGGAATCTGTGCCGCACCACCACCATATTTGCATAAAAAAGCATTATAATGGGGTAAAGTCATCCCTTCTCAGAATGTAGAGGCTTATTTCTCCCCCTAAAGGGCCTGTTTCTCATATATACACATGCACACTCACTTTAATATCCCACTTCGAAAGGTCAAGGAAGAAATTATTAAACAAGGGCTACAACACATATAAGGTGACTCACCAACCCACCCACCCCTGAAAACACTTTGTGATCTCCAAGTTGGGAAATACTAATCAGGAAGCTCATTTGTTCACCTCTAATTGTAATTCCTACAAACTTCCCTGTGGAAAGATACATCATCTGCAGATTCACCTGAGCTCAGAACTTTTTAGAAGAGGTGCCTTTACTACCACAGTACAGACCTTGCCATATACAATTCCATTTTCCTCCAGTGGAATAAAAGCAAATGGAAAATCTTAAGGCGAACAGGTCACAATTTATCAACATTTGCTTCAGTAGAACTGTAGGAATTAACCTACAATAATTTAATGGGCCCCTTGACCATTCAGGAGCTGAATCTTTGATTGCAATGAAAGTTGGCTAATGGGTCTCTTAGCCCTTGTAATTCAGCATTGCTGGCCACTGATTAATTCAAGGGTTTCTCCCTTCCTGCCATTCTCTGGGCTGCCAAACAATGACAGTTAGGAACTCTTGTCATTTTGCAGGTGCCTCAGATTGCTCTCCATGGTAGTTTCTATATTTCATTGGATGCCTGCAGTGTGATCAAATTAAAACAAGCTACTCTGCATCAAAAAGAACACATCCATTGCAATATACTCCCAAATTCCTCTTCAGTTCCTGGAACAAGAAATGAGCTACTCCTACGCTACTGCCTGTGTGGTTGGCTTGGCAGCCCTACCGCAAAGGGAGGGAAGGACTACCTTAGGAAGACATGCCTCTTGTTCCCCGATTGGATGCTCAACATGCTGAGATGCCAGTACTTCCCCATCTCCTACGTTCCTACTACTCAAAGAGGGTGGAGACAGGAAGGAATTAATTCCTGAGCAAGTGACATTCTCTGCGAGCTTGGGAAATGTATGAGTCTAGGAATATCTGTTAATTGCTTTCTACAGATAAATGTTAAGACATCCAAGGAGACCAACTTTTACAAAGCTGCCAATTAAATTAGCCAGTAAGAGCAATGTGTAAGAACAGAAGCACAGCAGTCTTCTTTTGACTTAAATAGATGTTTAGAGTTTAAAGAAAAACATCAGATACATTTAAAATAGAAAAATGAGTGAACTTGGTCTTCATAAAAAGATACCATTGAAATTGGTAGACCTTGGCTTTCAGCCACAATAATAAATCCTATGGAAGTCAGGGGAACTTACTTTTGAGTAAACCATGTATGCTGCTGTATAGTGAAAATGCAAACTGAAAAACAGTTTTCAAAACTAGATAAAATATATGCCAATGTCATTTCAGGGTTTTGCACATGACAAGTTAATTTTCCAATAAATGTGCATTAATTTCCAATTCGTTCTGCCCCTTAAGAGTGTGCTGATATTACAAAGTATTTTTTTAAAAAAAAACACTTCAAATTTCTATCATGGTTGTGCTGGTGCTGTGATACCGCAGATATCTGTTGAATGTAGCTAGTAGTAAGTGGTACATGTTTCATACTTCCACTTTCATATTTTTGTGCAAAACAGTGTAAAGTTCATCATACAATTTCTCCCTTGTATTTCTTCACTTCCTACACAACACCAATGGTCAAGGGCTCATTTAGTGGCATTTTCTGAGGATGAAGAGGAGAAGACAGTATGGGGAGAGAAGGAGAAGGAGAAGAAAGAGGGAGAAGTGGGTGAAATGGGGGCAGGGTGGTAAAACACCAATACTGGAAAGTCCAGGGACAAGCCTTTGCCTCCTGCCTGTCACATGTAAGATCGATTTCATATTGCAAGTGAAAATTATTGTAGGAAAAAATAAGGAAAAGCTTGCCTAAACAAAAGCATGGGATTTCTCTCCTCCATGAGTGAGCTAAACATTAATATCTAACTCAAGTAGTTACACCACATTTTAAGTAGTTCATAATTACTTGTGTTTGGGTGGGTACAAAGATACTGCAGTTCTGTGTTTGCCTCTAATAAGTGGACATGATCCTAGAATCATAAAATTGGAAAGTACTGGGAAGGGGCTACTGGGCAGATTTTATTGCCATTTATTCAGTGAGAAAGTCCTGTGTGAAACTCCCCTCAGTCGTATGTCCCCATTAACTAAGCTACAAGTTCCTTACACTTGGCTTCTTCGGTGCTTCTGACATCTTCAGAAACCCTTTTCAGAGAACTGATGAGGGTGCTCACATCAGAGCTGTGGAGTTCGCACCGCACAAAGTATTCCAGGTCAGCAGACCCCTCTCGCAATTTCTTGCTGGCCCTTGTTTCTAAATGATGAATTCTGGCTTCAAATGTCTTTAAAGAAAGGGATAGAGAGGTATTAGGAATCATTAATATATAAGAACAAGGAGTTTAAGCAAAATCTACACAGTTTTTTTAAAAATAAGACATTTGATAAACACCTGAGCGACAGACGCCTAGAAAGTTTTTCTCCTCTACAGCCACTGTTCATCAAATATATTATGAGCAGAAACATGCTTGTTACACACACACACACATTCCCAGTTGCTATTTCTTTAACCTTGAGCAGAGTAGTTCCTTTCATTATTTTAACAAACAAAACAATCAATTTTTCATGTGTACAAATTGAGAATACATAAATACATTGAGTTCTCCTTACTACCCGTTTTAACTACTTGGATTTTGTTGTTACAAGGTGCCATCACATCACTTCCAATCAAGGTGACATTGCAAAATAAATGAATAAATACTTCCAATCAAGGTGACATTGCAAAATAAAAATAAATAAACAACCTTTCTTTGCTCTTGCAAATTCAAGGTCATGGCTTGCTTTATTAAGTCAATCAGTCTATCTTGTATTTTGTCTTCCTCTTTTACTGCTGTCTTCAGCTTTTCCCAGTTTCATTGCTTGCCTAATAAATAAACAACCTTTCTTAGCTCTTGCAAATTCAAGGTCATGTTTTGCTTTATTAATACAAGATAGATTGAAGTCAATCAATGTATCTTGTATTTTCTCTTTCTCTTTTATTCCTGTCTTCAACTTTTCCCAGTTTCATTGCTTCCCCGCCCCCCTTTCTTCTCATAGTGGGCTCAAAGGACTATAGCCTCAGTTCTGTGATTTCTGCAACCTTTCTTAGCTCTTGCAAATTCAAGGTCATGTTTTGCTTTATTAATACAAGATAGATTGAAGTCAATCAATGTATCTTGTATTTTCTCTTTCTCTTTTATTCCTGTCTTCAACTTTTCCCAGTTTCATTGCTTCCCCGCCCCCCTTTCTTCTCATAGTGGGCTCAAAGGACTATAGCCTCAGTTCTGTGATTTCTGCTTCTAGATAATAGATTTGATTTGTCCTAGGACTCGCTTTTTTGTCGTTCTAGCATTCTGTGGTGTCTGTAAAAGTGTATTCAACATCATATTTGAAAGAAATAAATTTTTCCCCGTCAGCATTCTTCACTGTCCAGCTTTCACATGTGACTATAGTCATTAGTATATTGGCCTTATAGTGACACATTCTTATACTTGATGATCTTTTCTAATTCCTGCATTGCTGTCCTTCTGAGTCTCAGATTTCTTCTGATTTCTTGGCTGCATCAATCATTTGGATTGATGCTTGAGTCAAGGTACAAAGGCTTTAATTATATCATTTCCCGCCACTTTATCTACTAACACCCAATCAGGCTCATAATGGGAGACATGGTCTTTGGCTTGAACCCAAGCCATGTAGGGCTTTATAGCTTAAAACCAGCTCTTTGTAAAATGTAAAGAATAAATTGCACTAGAATTAGACCTATGAATCAATGAGGATTTAGTGAGCCATTGCCTCTATAAGTTCCATTGATTCAAGTGGGCCTACTCTAATTGTGACTTACTGTGCTAGAGTTTGTCCCAGCTAGAGCAAGCCCATTTGAATTTATTACACTTATGGAGGAGTGGACTCAACGAATCCCCATTGACTCAATGGGTGTGATCTAATGAAATCACTATGCTAAGGTTTTAACCACTGATGGCAAGTAGTATCAGGGAAGGGGCTAGACTGATTTCCTTGGGACTGGGAATTCCATAGTCTAACTGAATCCACATCTTTCTGCCAGATTATGATCGGTTTACTGCTATGATGTATGGTCACACATTTTGAGGATAAACCACCACACAAAGGTGAATTATTATTATTTTGTTAATTAAAAATTATTTTTAAAAAGTGTGATAAAGCATTATGACCAGTAAACAGGGACGTTTTCAAGAAATATTAAAGCATGGATATACCCAGAAAAGCTTCTAAATTTACTGTACAATTTTTGAAGAGCTTCAGCGCTCTGCTTTGAATAAAGTTCTGAATATAAGATGTGATGCTAAATTTAGGCTGGAACAACTCGTTCTCTTTCCATTTTCATTCTTTAGGTTCCAAGAGCTACACTTCCAGAGAACAGCAATTGTAAGGGGCAGCTTATAAGGTAGACACATTAGACCGGAGAAGGTGCAACTCACCCCAACTACCACCATTTTTGCTCTGGAACTTCCCCATCAAACTCATTTCCCTTAGATCAAGTGTCACCTGAGAGTTAAATAGTGATGGAGGGGGGAGTTGTGAGAAGAAAGCTGGGAATTAGAAAAGCACGAAATGCCCTCTCTCCACTTTAGTGACTTTTTACTCCAGATCTATAGATCCGGATGGGAGATCTTTGGATGATCTTCAATAAATTGGCAAGGGTTTCCATTCCCCATTTGCCTCAAAAATAACAATAATCCTTTCACACACAAACACTCATAAATTCAGTTGCTGAGAACAAGTGCTGGGTGAAGGAAGGGGTGAAAAAAAGATTTATTTATTTATTTATTTGCATGAAATGACTTGTGAACTTGATTCTGGTTGTTGCCATTGAATCACTTCAAACCTAAGTGAATTACTGAATTAATGACTCTGAAAGGCCCTATCACTTAAGAGCCCTGCTCAGGTCATGCAAACTATGGTTTCCTTTATTGAGGGAATGTATGTCATGTCTGATCTTCCTCTTTTCCTATTGCCTTCCTTCTTTTCATAGTGTTGTTGTCTTTTCCAGTGAGCCTTGTCTTCTCGTGATATGTCCAAAGTACAAGAGCCTCAGTTTGATCTTTTCAGCTTCTAGTGAGAGTTCAGGATTAGTTTCAAATAGAATGCTATTTCTTTATGGAAGCCTATGGTATTCATAGAGGTTACCTTCAATACTTTATTATAAATGAATTTATTTTATTCTTGTTAGCTTTCTTCAATGTCTAGCTTTCACATCCATAGAGAGTAATTGGGAATAATGTAATACAGATGATCTTTCCCTTTTTCTCCAACAGCACATCCACACACTTGAGGATCTTCTCTAGTTCCTTCCAGATCTCAGTCATCTTCTGATTTCTTGGCTGCACTCTCCATTTTGAATGAAGAATGAATCAATACATAGTTTTTTTAAAAAAAAAAGTTTTTGTATGATCAAAATTACAGTTCTGCAGTTCCTCTGTATTTCTCATTTTTGTCTTCGTGTTCAACTGTATTTCTGTTTTACTCCAGTAATCCTTATTTCTTCCTTTATTCTGGTATTGATCTCAAAATGCCAAGCAGAGAAACGGCATCGCCATTCCTAACTTCTTATGAATTTGCTCACTATTAGAAACCTGAATTCTGGATGTATGTCTTTCACACCAGCCTCTTATTCATAGACCTTAGGCTCTAGTCAAAAAGCAAACTAGATGATACAAACCTGAACAATTTGTTTACCCTTGCTATATCAAATACATTGCTGCTTAATTATCTCTAAAGCAGGCTTTGGTTGGCATTAGTGCCAAAAAAAAAAAAAACAACTGAATTCCATCCTGAATCTTTCTTTGCCACCCTGAATCTTTCTTTGCCATCCTGAATCTTTCTTTGTTTTGGTTTCTATTTCTTAAAGAGTTAACCTAGCTTCTTCTTGGAGATTCTGTATGGGGAAAGGACACTTTTTAAAACCTAATGAGAGATAGATAGGCAAACAGGGGACAAAGCACTGTCATGAACAAATCCAATTTAGCACCATGTTTTCTAATGCATCCTTAGAACATTGGCCCTCCACAACAATCAATACCTTAACATTAATCTGACAGATCTGATTGCATTACCTTTGCTTGGCTTGTATGTAATGTAAAACAGTAGAGTAAAACCAGCCTCCCCATAGCCTGTGCCATTACGAGGCAAATGTCATTACACCCGTCTGTTTTCATATCTTGTACCTGCAGTGCCGGAGGGATTGGGGAAATGAATCTTTCGCAGTGGACGCCTGGCATCCATGGGTGCTTGCTTTCCTTCAGCCCTCTGCAGGGTAAAACAAGACCGCTTTCTCACTCACATAAATCTCCCTTGAAGGATGTGAATGTCTCTCTTGTTCCCCACACTACTCTACCAACTGACTTCTTGGGAAAGTGTTATCATTAATATTATTAAGGGGACTGCAAAATAAGCTTTGCCCCCCCCCCCCGCTCAGTTACACACACCAACAGTACAAGGAGAGGGTTGGGAAACATTTGTGATTTTTTTTTTCTTAAATAGATTACTTTTCCATGCCTTTCATGGTAAAAAGCAGCAAATAATTTTATCTACCTCTATTATAGGTTAGGATGCTTGCTGGATAGCTCAATGGTTTAGGTCTCTGGCTGTTGAGCCAGAGGTTGGGAGTTTGGTTCCCCACCATGCCCCTCGTGTGTAGAGCCAGCCTCGGTGGATTTGGGCAAGCTGCACAGTCCCAGCGTGCCTCCAGGAGAAGGGAAGGGTAAAAACCATTTCTCTGTATTCTCTACCTGGAAAACCCTGAAAGGGGGTCACTATAAGTCAGAATTGACTCAACAGCATATGGTTATTATTTTGTTTTATTTTATTTTAATCTTGCCTATTTAGTGGCTAGGCCACGACTCTAGGCAGCTTACAATACATAACGGAAACATATAATGGCACTACAGAAATACTCTGATAAAACAACACACATAGAAAACCCAGCCTCTAAAAACAAAATATCCTCTGTGCACACACACACACACACACACACACGCACGCACGCACGCACGCACGCACACATGCACACATGCACACGCACACACGTGCATCCATGCATGTGTGGGTGTGTGCATAAAACAAATATATATATATATATACAGAAGTACAATAAATGGTGGCAAGATAGAGACAATTATCCCAGAATTCACAGAAAACAGATGGTCATAAACAACATTAGTCCAAGGTAAGGTTATGAAAGACTCATGTGAACAGCCATTTTTTTGAGGGAAGGGGCCAGGCACACCTCAGTCAGGAGAGGAATTCAACGATTTGGTCACTTACATAATAAGTCACATTAGTCTTAAGGATGTAGCTGTTCAAATGATTTTATATAAAGTACGGAAGGGTGTGTGACTTATTGATTGTCTGTACTTCTAATGTAGAGTGGAAATGGAAGGGCCTCGGAGCATATCTGCCTAGACATCTAATTGTAGATTTGCAGACAAAGGAGGAGGTCCCAGCTGCTCCATCAGAGCTACGTCTGACAGGTATGTGGAAGCAAGACCTGGGACTTGGAAAGTGTAAAGGCTTTCAAATACTGTAGTATAATAGAAATACTTGCCCACTGACAGATCATTTCCAACTTATGGTGGCCTTTCTTTTGGTTGTCTAGGTATAAAGTACTCAGAAGTAGTTTACTCCTTCTAGGGCCACTCTGGGATGCTGCAGTTTGCCCAAGGCTACACAGGTTGGCTGTTTTTTCAGGAGGCACATACAGAAATCACACTCCCAGCCTCTGGTTTCACTGCCAGGTACTTCTTCACACTGAACTATTCAGCCAGCTATTTAATGTCTTTGAGGAAAGGATCTTTGAAAAAAACGATGATGATGATGATGATGTGCCGTCAAGTCAATTGCGACTTACGGCAACCCTTTTCAGGATTTTCTAGGCAGATAGTATTCAGAAGAGGTTTACCATTCCCTTCTTCTGAGCGCTTTGTGGGCTATTCAGAAGAGGTTTACCATTCCCTTCTTATGAGTGCTTTGTGGGACTATGTAGCCTGTCCAAGGCCACATAGGCTGCCGGTGGGGAACTGAACTCCCAACCTCTTGCTCCACTGCCAGTTACCTAACTTACTGAGCTGTCCAGTCAACCTAAGAATCTAAGAATCATACTACATCTGTTCATCCTGTTTTGCACAATGGTCAGTTACATGCTTACAAGATATCAGGTTAATTCTTCCCATAAGAACTTTTTGAACCCTTTCACCAATGTGGCCTCATTAAAGTGGTGCATGCAGTTACCATCAAAGATGGCATGCAATTACCATCCAAAACAGCAAGTTGGGTATTTTTCATGGTAACAATTGGAGGCATACCCACTTCCTTCAACATTAAAAGGATCATGTGGATACTAGAGAGCTAGACTCTAGATGTAATGCATATGTCAGCGACCTATCCCTGCACTTAGCTAAATTGATACGTTAAGAACACATGAACTAGATTGGGCTTTTCTGCCATTAGGCTCATACTGGATTCAGCCGAAAAGGCAACATCACCTGCTCACCTCAAACACTTTGAGTGCACGGGATGGCAATGACATCTTTCCTCCTTTGAGTGTGAATAGGAGGTTCAACACGGCCATGCCATCCTTCTCTTCAAAGACAATCGTTTCCATTGAGTCAGTGCTCCCAGAGGCAGCTGCTGCCGCTGCTGCTTCCCTTTCCTTCCTGGCATCTTCAATGAGGCTCTGCCGTCTCCCAATGAACTGTGGTGACTGTTGAGAAATGCACAAGGGGAAAAAAAAAGAATAGCATCATTTCCCAAAACTCAAATAAAAACTCTTTGCTCTCTTCCCACCTTTAAAAGCCCACACAGTACAAATTTGTACTTTAAAAGTACAATCTAGAGATTTGCATGGTCCTTGGAGAAAAGTTGTATGACAAATTGAATCAGGAGTAATTTGACCATTTTGGGGGAGCAAAATGGTAGAACTACCATTTTGGGGGAGCAGGTCAGCCACAGTCCCCCCTAAGATGGCATCCAGCACATCTTTAGCATTAGTTGCATCTTTTATGGTGCTACTAAGACTGAGAGAACACACATGTATTTGAATGGAACTTTGTGGATAGCCAGTGTGGAGTAGTAGATAGAGTGATGGATTAAAACCCAGGAGACATAGATTCAAATCTCCACTCCACCATGGAAACTTAAGGGGGTGTGACACAGGTAAAACCACTCCTTATAGCTCACCTACCTTTAAAGCCTGATCAGTGTCACTGTTAAGTCAGTTCTGATTTGACAGCATAAAATGTAATATAAACGGAAACTGTTGTTCTTATGTGTCCTCTGACTTATGAGAATGCTAGGGAAATATCTACCCAGAGCATAAAAGATATTTCCATAATAAGAACCTTTTCAATGAGTGACCTCAAAAATTGTGAAAACCCAAAATATAATAATACATCCTGCCTTTGCATTACAGTATATTACCATTCAACTAAGTTTACTTTCTAGTTAACATATTTGGAATCAGTATATCAAAGAAAAATATTATTTTTACTCTAACAAGCTTTTATTAATTGAACCACCAGCTATTTGGGTTTTCTCCCTTTGTTTCTATGACATAAATTCAGCAGGTTTTTAAAAATGTTTTTAAAATTGTAAGCTGCTTTAGAAGACCTTTATTCTCTAAATATTTATTCTCTAAAAGTAGAGTAGAAATAAACCTCAAAATAATGCAGAAATACCATCTTTTTATAACGCAGGTCTTTTTTTCCTAAACATCCATCCATCTATCCAGGCTATATTCTATTGGTCCAGTGAGATGCAAGAAATGGAAATCTGAGTATCAGACACAGTCACCAGTGGCATAAGACAGCTAATGTAAAAGAGTGCTGCTCCGAGGATTTCAAGGAAGGACTGTTGTGATTTAGAAAGCTGTGATTTCAAACAAAATGCACTTTTTCCTTTTTTTCTCTCTCATCTGTGAAGGAATATTGGATAAGCACTCCAGTTGTGATTTAGAAAGCTGTGATTTCAAACAGAATGCACTTTTTCCTTTTTTCTTTCATCTGTGAAGGAATATCGGATAAGCACCCCAGTTTGCTCAGTAAGTAGACACTTTATTTTTTATTTTGCTTTTGTGATTTTTTGGGGGGAGGGTTAATAAATTACTGGAGAAAAATGATGGCTTTTGAAATAAGTATTTAGGGGTTCCTGCTAATCTTTTCTCCTGCTGTTACCTTTGATTGTTGCAGAGGTTTTTGGAACATTAGAGACACCTGTAAATTGGAGAACAGCAATGATGTTAAAGAGAAAAAAATATTGTCTGTCTCCAAATTGTCTATTTTGTGTACTGATCATACATTGTTTACGGTAATTGATGTCTCTGCTGTTGTCACTATTAATTGTTACATTTCTGGGTAGAAAAAGTAACCAGATATAATCTGACTGTATTAATTGTTACATTTCTGGGTAGAAAAACTAACCAGATTGTTTCGTAAATTAAGAAATCAATACTTGGTGACTTTAACTGGGTGTAGGTTTCAGTCCAACTGTGTGTGTGTGTGTGTGTGTGTGTGTGTGTGTGTGTGTACTTATTCACATACAT